AAATTATATGTAAATGGTCATTCTATTATATTGTGTAGAGAATAAAATCAAGAAAAGAAAATATGCTCATATTTAGAATAGGCACTTTTTTCCTGAATGTTTCCACTCTATAGCTGGTTGGATCCATGAAAGTAGAACCCAGACATATAGAAGGCCAAGTGTACTGCATAGCTTTAGTAAAAGGGACAGTCTGAATAAAAGAATGAGAGAAACTAGCCATCTATTGTATCAGAAAGAACTGCTTTTGAATTTCATGTTATAATGATTTGAGTATAGCTGGACTACAGAAGATTTGTGATACTGGCAAGCAGGTTTGACATTCGCACAAGGAGAACACAAAGAATCTGTGTAGCAACACTATGATCCAGAGCCATGCAGTGGGACGATCTCTATTTCACCTGCACTTTAACTTTTCTCTGTAAAAATATCTATATGTACATCTCTATAGGTAGCTTTATTACAGTGGTTCTATTCAAATCTAGAACCATATGCATTCTAGGCATATTCTATACCACTGAGCCACACAGCCCACTTCAGCCTGCTACAAAACCTTTGGAGTCTCAATTTACTAATCAGCAATGAGAGTGGTAAGTCTTCCCAGACAGATTTACTTATAAGAATTAGATATGTTAGTATACACTGAAGACCCTGGCTCCTGGTAGATACTTAAAAACAACAACAACAACAATAATAATAATAATAAACCACTTTAATCTCTTGTGCCAGAGCTCTGTTTATCATTCTGCTCTCTAACACTTTGAGCATGTTTATTGCTGCTGTTGTATTTGTTTCATATTCTTTTACCTTTATGTCTTAACTTTTCAGGTTTTTAACCAGTGTGCTATGAAAGATGTGGCTAACTGGACAACAACTGATTTTTAGATGAGGTATTTCTCCATGTCCAGATTAGCTGAATGTCTTTCTTATGCAGATATATAAACAAATACATCATGGAAAAGTCACAGAGAATCCCAGCTAAACATGAATATGAGTGCAGGTCAGAGCAGCACACCATAGTCACCATCCCTTGTCACCCCTCTAAAGCAGGTTTGCAGAACCTTTGTTGCAATAAAAGGATAATTGATATTTGTAAGTCTTAAATCAGTCTTGAAAAGAGTACTCCTCCTGACTCACCCACTTTCTCTCTGGCATAAAAGGGCTGTCTCTCGCTTCAACTAGTTTTGTGGTTGTTACTGGAATGTATACCCAACACCATACAAGGAAGCATATCACTATTCTTTCATGAATTCCCAAATTCTAAATCTAGGATATCTTTCTTTCTAGCTTTCAAGAGACTTCCTATAAATCAAAGTATTAGCTTAATGAAAGCTGTTCATTAAAAACAAATAAAAGATAATTTATCAAGCAAAGCTAGCATCCAATGGGAAACAAACTGTAGCTTTGAAGAAAAACAAATAACCTGCCTTGGAATGGGGCTGTAGATGGAAATTCTAGGCTCAAAATTAGAAGCTATCAATCACACAACCATATCTTATTCCCATGAAGAAGCCAAAACCTCAACAATGAGAGCTGGACTCTCAGCTACTGGAGTGCTCAGTGGCTGTGCACATTCATGACAGAGTTTAGGCAGCTATGAGAGGAAGCAGTAGAGTTTAATGTTCTCTTAGCACGGTGAGTGACAGTCAATGACCTGACCTTGTGTACATAGGTTTAATAACTATATGGAAAAGAAACAACTAGTACTAAAGTTTATGATAGTCAAAGGCTGGGAATAGAAGAGAGGGGGCAGTTATTCTGCTATTTTCTTACCTAAGACTTAGATCATAGTAAAAGGAAATTGTCATTGTGAAGATTCTGTGAATTCTTTGTTGTTTCAGAAATGAGACCTAAAATGATGTCAGTTATTTTCCAGAGTATGCCTGTATGCTTTAAAAATACGCAGAACTTGTGTCATGTAATGGATGAAAAGTGGGTCATCTTATACATTCATGAGAATTTCAGGCTCAGTGCCAGAGCAAACAGGTGACAGTACAAGCCCAAGAAGTTAGAGGCAAATCTGTCCCTAAAGGACCCACAGTCAGTAGGACATCCTGCACCAAGGGACTGTCTTTACTGTTGTCTGAATCATGTTGAGCCTTCAGGATAAGTTCTGTGCAGTTGAGGTGTGGGGAGCGTTAGAGAAGCAGAGAAACCAGGCTGGGATCCAATGCAGTAAAAGACAGAAAAGTAGATCCTATAAAAGACATGGTACAGGAGCGTGGTCGGGGATTTCATAGGAAGTATGACATCATAGTAGCACACAACTGTAACAGTCAGAGGGAGGCTCAAGGCCTCTAAAATGTCAGAGATACAAAACAAAAGAGTGTTGGGGTGCAGATATTATGTTTCTACCATATGGAGGAACACATGAAAGCCTTTAATTCGGAATGATGTGAAAATAGCCACAAGAGAATCAATTCCCTGTAATGGCAGGTGAAGATGACACTTATGGCATGTCAGAGAACCAGAGAGATACGTCATTCTCTAACTGCCTGTCCCATTTCTTTCTCAGGCTGGTGCTCCTCTCTCCATAAGGAACAATAGCTAATAATTGCAGTTTGTTCTCTCTAGCCAATCCCACACTATGCTGGGCGTGGCCTTATTATTATTCTCACTTTATTGTAAATGAAGCAGAAGTTGAGAGCGATTATGGAACTCACTTCCAGAGGAAACTAAAGGCAGATCCAGGGTTTACTAATGAGTTTTCCTAACTCCAAAGCCCAGTTCCTTACCACTATCTAGGCAGCTTGCCCTGAAATGACAAGTACGCTGCTAACATGGGTGTTCTCCTACTGAGTAGCCCCATTGTAGGTTTCTGCTATTAGCAAATTAACCTATTGAGTCTGAATGGATGAAATTATAAAATTGCAATAATCTGCATCCACAAATTCATAAACTGAAAGAGATGAGTCACACTATTCACCTTAACAAGACAAACAATTCTGAATACTGCCAAACTGGGGGTGGGTGGGGTGGGGGAGGGGTTACTTTTCAAGTAAATTGCAGAATTCTAAGAAGAAAAAGATGACTCATAGCCAAGAAAGTCCATTCAAAGCATTGTTTTTATTTGCTATAAGAATATATATAATCTTCATTTCTGCTTGTAAAACCTGGTAGACATTGAGAAGCAATGCAGACTCTACACACATGAATATTTATTGAACTAAAATTTTAGCAAAGGTTGGAAAAAAATCACATCTTAAGAGAAAAAACACAGAAAGAACAAACATCCTTAACACCCACCCTCAGCAAACTATGAAAGAGCAGCCCCACGGAGGCCTAAAACCTAAGGAAGTTTTAAGAGACAGGAAAGGTCCCCCAAACCTTGTCAGTGTGTAGTCAAAATGGCTCTTTGCATTCGGCATTAAAGTTTCTGCATAGTACCAAGTAAGCATTACCTGTGAGTTAAACTAATCCAGATGAAGGTACACTTCCAGTCTGCAGATTGCTTTTCTTGCTCATATACTGGGCAGGGAACTAAGAATTGTAATGTCTTCCATAACAAAAGTCACAGTGATTTCTCACTTGTATAGCAATTACCTGAACAAACTACATTATATATGAGATGCCCAACAGCACCAGTGCTCACTGGATACTGGAGCTTGTTTCCTGGGTAATTATAGATATGAACTAAGCTCTCGGCATGCAAGCCAGGACTCTGTGACTATCACAAAAGGCTCCTTGCTTTCCTAAACATGGAATGCCCTGTGTTAATGCTTCACTATACATATAGTCACCAAATGTGATAATAACTTCCCAAATACCACAGTCCATCTCCATCACAAAAGACGAGTAGCTTAAACAAACTGAGAATTGAAAGCATCACAACGCAAGTCCAATGACCCGAATCAAGTCTCAGGCAGAACAGGTGAAGGTCCCCTTAGAACCAACCAAACCTTCAGATGCCCTTGATCATTCTGGAGGGATCAGCAGCTGTCTCAAGGTGTGAGAATGCCCTTGCATCTCTATGATTTTAGTCTCAAAGTAAAACTTCTCGGGAAAGTTGTAGAAAAGCTAACAACAGCATACCAACAAGAGGTGACTTAGGAAGATTTCTGTCCCACCAATAGCAAGGAGAGCAGGTGGGAATCCCAAGAGCTTTGGGTGGTCAGGCTGTGGATTAGATGAGCTAACATCCAATTTAAAGGCATCTCTAGACTTAGGGGGACAAAGTTGGAATTGAGGAAACAACTTTAGGTTCAGTTCAACATTTTACAGCTTCCTGCCTCAGTTCCAAAAACCATATTCCTCTGTGGTAGATCTGGAGCCTGAAGGCTTTGAGCCCAGGCACTTCATGGATTCCTGGGTACTCTGACAGAGGGAAAGGATTAAAATGATTTAAGCCAAACGTCTATCTAGAAAACTCAAATTCTCCAAAGTATATTGAAGCTGCTAGAAATTAGCACGCTCTCTCACGCTCTCTCACGCTCTCTCTCTCTCTCTCTCTCTCTCTCTCTCTCTCTCTCTCCCTCCCTCCCTCCCTCCCTCCCTCCCCCCTTATATGGATCTATTTTCTAAGCCTGAATTCTGTAAAATCAATGAAGAAAACAACCCATCATTCATCGTTCCTCTAAGATTGTTATGCTGAGATTGTTATGCTGAGAAGCAGAACATTTGTTTTGAATGCGTTTGCTTTCAAAGTCACACATTTGCTTGAATTTTGAGTAAGTACTTTAAATTTTAAATCAGTGCATTTAAAATTGGACAACACTAACAGACACTTTAACATGAAGCAGGGAAATCTTACAGGGTTGCAACCCTAGACGAAGTAGTATAATCAATTAAGGAATGCTGAGAGTGGGAGAAACTTAGTTTTTCCCAGGGAAAAGTACATGAACTGATTACCTAATACCAAATAGTCTTTTCTGAAAATACATACACACAAGTAACACAGGGACTGAGCAGATTATATTTATATATTTAGGGATATATATATAAGATATATGCAATTTTATATATATATCAATAAAACAAAAGAAAGGATGCTTTAGACAGAGAACGAGAGAACAAGTGTGTACATAAGGGCTTGGAAGAAGGGAAAATAAAGGGGAAATTGGTGTTTATATTTTAATCACATTTTAATTTCACAAAATAATATAATTTTAATTGGAAAAGTTACTTTTAGAAGTACATTTCTTACCCCTGATAGTTATTGAGGCAGTGTTCATGTCAGGGTACATCATCTCTTGGGGATGAAAATAGGGCAGTGGGAAGAATTTAATTTTCAGGATAAGATGTATCATTTTTAATTTGGGTACAACTTAAGACTGTTAAAGGCCTACACAGTAAAATCAAATCAATCTACCATTTACTAGCTTTTGCTGGAGTCTTGATTGACCTCAAATGTAGTGTATCTGGTGCATCTATAAGAAAACGACCAAGGGGAATCTCAGGCAGATTTCACTTTGACTTTCACGGTCAGTCACAGTAGTGCCAGCTGCATGACTTTGGAGGTGTGTCCTGGTGCATCTAGTAGGTGCTGAGAGGCAGGCAGGCAGGCAGGCAGGTCCTCCTCCACTCCCTCTGTTCTTATACTTGCCCTATTTTTTGTTCCAGTGATGAGAGATGTTCTGGATCTTCTTCATCTTGATCCGCTGATCCAGCATCTTGTACCTTACGGGATGATCATCAGTTTTCTTTGGAACAGAAGGTGCGTAGGAGCTAGATGCATAAGCAGGACGCTTAAAGTGACGCAAAGGAGGCTTGATGACTGGAGACCATGGAAAGGAAGACAGACAACCATTAGCTTCAGAGACTTAACTGGACATAGACATTGCGGCTGCCTTCCTGCTTGATGTGCATGTCTTCTCCAAGTCAGAAAATGAACAGGATCGGATTTCTAAACTGACTGAACAAGCACAATATCCACTTAGTCATTGACTTAAAACTCAATAAAGATAAGAAACTGCTAGAGATGGGCAGTGGTGGCCTAGTATATAAAGTTTACTTGGTAGTAAATGGATAAACTTATGAAAGGGTGTAGGGATGTTGGGATCACAAGTGGAAGCAGAGTTACCATGGAGAGCAGTGGTATATTTGTTGCTCATAACAGGTAGCATTGTGTGCAAGCTTTGATGGGGTGGGGGTGGAAAAATGCCACTTATTCCCAAATTGCTAACTAAAAGCATATAACTGAGAATTTATTTGCAAAATAATTATGAAGGTCTAATATCCAAAATGTACAAAGAATTCTTAAAATTCAGCAGAAGGAAACGACCCAATGCCAAAATGGACAAAATGAATAAACTCCTTACTACAGAAGATACATCTATCAAATAAGCACAGGATAAAATGTGAACACTGAAGAATTGCAAATAGAACAGCAATCATCTGCTACGTGTAGACATGACGCCAAAGTCCAAGACCCTTAGAATGTTCCTTCCTGTTGGTGGGAGTGAAAAGTGTTGCCACTGCTTTGAAAGAAAGATTAGCAATTTCATGAAGCCGGACACAGACTTTATCATAAATGCAATATACTTTTTATTTTTTCAATTAGTTTACTCAACTAATTGAAAAGACTATACTCACATATCACTCGACTGTAAAAAGCCAAGATAACTTTTAATTGGCTAATGGATAAATACACTGTAATAGCATATACGGCATATATAATGGTATCATAATTTGATAAAAAAAAATGAATGAGTGACGAAGCTATATGAAGATGTGGACACACTGTAAATAGACATTGCTAAGAGAAAGAAACCAGTCTGCAAAGGCAGCCATACTATCTGATTGTACTTACAGGATAAGTTTGAAGGGAAAAAAACCCATAGAACTATGGCAACAATAAAAAGATCATTGGCTGTGACATTATCAAAGTGAGGAGAGAAGAATAAATAGGTAAGTAGTAGGAATTCCAGGGCCGAGAAATCATTTTATGTAATACTAGTAGACTCTGACACTATTTGTCAAAACTCATAAATTTTTATGGGAGAGATCTTTAATTTATGCAATTTTAAAAAGGCATAGAGGTTATAGGATACCAGAATGCACTGCAAAAAAAATCTGACATCCCTGCTAATTTAGGTAACAATGAGCCTGCAGGGGATGAAAAGCTAAAGGTCCACCTGAATAACTGCTTATAAGCAGGCTCTAAAAGAGCAAAAAGGCCAGAGGAGCTACACATAAACTATGTATTCTGGTTGATAATTGCTTCTAAAAACAGGGGCAGATGAACGATTTCAATTCCACTCTACAATTCTCTATAATTGAAAACTTATATAAAAGGAGATCAGTCGACAAAAACTATCCACAAAGATGTTAGCAGCTAAGCAAGAGGAGGAGGCTAGAATGATCCAAAGGTCATTGATTAGACTTGGGGAAATCAATACAAATTCATCGCAGAGATATTGATGACTACATATAATGCCATTTATAAATAGGAGCCCTTACATGGCTTAGTGCACACACGTGCATTTCTTTATCAGACCTAGAAAAATTGCAGGATTTGAGGCTAAAACAGCAGAGAACCAATCTTATATATGCATTTTTATTTCAAATATCATTCTCCAATGAGGGAAACATGCATATCCTATAGCAATAGCTTGTTATAGAACTAAGCATAGTAGTTGAACTTGGATACCATTATAGAAACATAAAATTCAAAGGTACCAAAGAAAGAAAGAGAGAAGAAGAAAGAGAAGAAGAAGAAGAAGAAGAAGAAGAAGAAGAA